GTTGGCGATTTTAAGCGATCTTAGGCGATTTAGGAGAAATTCGACAATTTTAACCCGCGATTTAGTGCGATTTTAGGCGATTTAGGGCGATTTAAGGCGATTTACCGCCCCAGAGTAGGCCTTTAATATAAACTCTTCAAACGCTTTGGTTTTTGGCAAAAACAGAATATATTTTTGCACAGGAAGATTTCTCGAAGACGGAAGTTGGATTGTTGGACCCATTACACGAAGAAACATGAGATATAATTGCCAAACAGCTACACTTTGGTCTAACGTAGACATCTCACACTTTGGTCTAACGTAGACATTTCTTTGCTTTTTGCCTTGTTTTCTTGTTTATTTTTCACTATTAATTTTGAATCAAATTCCTGCCTATTTGCAAAATGTGGGTCCACAATCATGGTAACAATGCTTGTCAGCGGTCGTTAATCACTTATAACTTTATGTAATTTTGTGTTTTAAGGATTTAACTACAGTAGTTAATGCTAACCGCAGTTAAATAACTTGAAGTCCCGAACTACCTTTTTATACAACCGGCCTCAGGGGAATAATAACTGAAGGATTACTCTAACAGCTGTCTTAATGTGTCTGCATGGCAGTTCAGAAACATCAAAAATGAAAACAATTTATAACTGACTATCGAAATAATACGCTGAGGACGTGGGTGGTTCACGCTTTAAAAAACGTGTTGTTTTTATTGATAGTCCTCAGATTCCGAAGATTCCGGGGCAAACTCAAATTATTCTAGTAATTGGGATTCATGGGATTCAGATAACGAAACCCCAACTGAACTTCCGGTAGAGAAACCAGCGAAGAGTGGCGTTGCTCGTGCGACCGAGGAAGGTAACATCACAGAGTAGAGACATACAGAGACGTAACTAGTGTACCCACTTTTTTTGTGCCCATGCACGGCAAGTGATTAGATGCATGCATCTGATTGGATAACGACCTGATGACGACTCACTTTAAACTTGCTGAGCACGCGCAGTTGATGATTTTTCGTCCGGTCGCCTGAAAAAAAGTGGGTACATGAAAACGTAATCTTCGCAGTGTTTACAACGGTCAGTTACGTCTCTGTATGTCTTATCTACTCTGTGGTAACATATTAATGAGTTCATATATGAGAAAGGTTAGCCTCTTCAGCAGGCAACTCAGTTCGTTAGTGTTCGTTCGTTCAGCCACAATGCGTGTCGCAACTGCTTGAAAATTTGAAATGCTTTGGTTTTAAAACAGAAAGTGATATAAATTGTTTCAGAACAGGTATTGCTGAAAGAAAATTGAGATTTTTTTATAGATGCTTTGTGGTATTGGGTGCAATCTTACTGTTGACTGCAAATTTATTTGCTTTTTGTTGCAACTTCACTGCAGTTGAGTTAACGAAATGGAAAATAAGTGATTTTTACACTAATTTCTTAATTCTGACCGCCAATATGAACAATTTTTCTTATAATAAATTATTTTATAGTATTTGTACTTTGTGTGGTTAGTTACTAACCGTTTCTCTTAACGGCCCAACGAATCACAAACTCAATGATGATGTAAAGTAAATCATAAGGGTAACTTTATCTCGTTCTAGTTTTAGAAAAACTGAAAAAAGAGGAATCTGTTGTTCTTGTGGATTTGGATCACTTCTGGTCCAGTCAGGTCGCAACAAAAGCACGAAAAGAGTTGGGCGAGTTGAAGACACACTTTAGTAAAACTATCTCTTCACTGGATGCCTTGAAAAGACGATGTGGTGACGTGAAGAAACTAATGGAGTGAGTTGTTCAGTATTTTGCAATTTTAATAGTAGCCACGAGTGTGTCTCGACAGATAATGATTATAGCATGATGATGTGTCTATTCAACCTTGTTGGGAGCAACGTATAGAACGACACAGCAAGCCGAATTTTGCACGGCAGTCTTGGATGGCTGATTGGAGGCCCAATTCTGCTATATCAATAATCAATGTTCCATATATACAAATAAGATTTTTTTGGTATGGCCAATATTTGGGTTATTCAATATAATAAAAACTTCATCTTGTCATTTCATTGTCAAAGTTGCCGTATATGCCTGATATAATGTTATTAAATGAATTTTCGAATTTGATGAGCGCTAAAACAAAGGAAAATTAATTTATCATTCATTATATTATGTATCTTTTAATAAAATCCCATTTGCATCTGGCTGCTTTTTAACAGAGAAAAAGTTGATTGAGATGAGATTTTTCACTATCAAGATATTATTACATTTATCTTATACTGAGCCAGATATTACCCATGTAAAAAATCACATTTGGGTTTAGCTATTCCCACTTTTCCACTATTTACACTTTGCTAAACCAGTTGCATTTAATCTGTTAAATAATTGTTCTGATAATTAAAAAAATCTAAAAAGAAATATGGGGTTTTTGTCAGAATTAAACGATTTTTTGGTCGCCGGGGATATTGTTTTGTTAATAGCTAGGGCTATTTTTTGTCGCTGGGGGTTGTCGCTGTAACATGTCCACATTGTACCCTGTCTCATTTACACTCGAGCACTGTGGTTTTTCGATCCCCCGTCCCTCTCCCAAAAAACAGTTTATTCACTGAATTGGGGATAAATAGAACTTCAAGTAAAACCATTTCCACCATGAATGTCGAATTTGGTTGATCTCCATTTTGTTGACAAGTAAAACTTATAAATATTCAAAGCGTCCACGGATCGAACTAGTTCAGTCGCCTCTATATTACTCTACATGGGACTAGCAGATTCAATTGTCAATTGTATAATGACAACCTCCCAAACAAGCTATTCGTCTTTTGAATATATGTAATATGGTATATATTGTTTGTGTATAGGTTACCGTGCGTCTTGTCCGTTGGATTCAGCAAAGAAGATTCAAAATTCAGTGTCATCGTCTCTGACCGAAACAAAGCACTGGAGTTGTCAGAAGAGCTAGCAAACCCAAACATTGACATCATCGAGGCTGGAAATTCGCACTTAATATAATGTATCGATCAATTCGAAACTTCACCACCCTCCCCCCCGGCCCACCCCGGGAATTTGAACTTTTTGAAATTTGACTGATCAAATTTTCCACCCCTTGTGCAAAAAATGTCTTCGAATGCCCCACTGTAACAAGAAATTAAGCGTTCAAATACCTTCATATGAAAATTATGAAACAGTAAATACAAAAAGTACAAAATATACGGAAATGTTTTTCGACAAGATAGCGAAATTCACGTAAAACGTTTGGATACCTTGTGGAAATTTAACAGTTTTACACAATCAAATGAAGCACATAGATTTTCCATGCCTGCGTTTCTTTGAGCCAGCTTTTCACAAAATTGAGGCCGTTTCCCTCAAAATCTGAGAAAACTGTATTTGCCGTCAATGCGAAGTATTTTCTGTGCATGCAGGACGCGAAAACGGGCAAAATTTTAAGACTTCCGATTCAAATTCCCCACCCCGTTAGCAAATGCCCCCGACCACATGGAAGACCTAGAACGTCAAATTCCCTACTTCCTGGAGAAGACTTGAAGTCAAATTCCCGGGGTATGCCCGGGAGGGGGGGATGATGAATTTTCGAATTGATCGGTACATAAGGGTTAGATGGAGTGTTAAAATCACTCCATATAACACTTCAGAAAAAGAAAACTGGTTTTCAAATGCGTACATAGAACATCCTACTCGGGCCTTTTACAAAATCAAAAATGTGCTTAGTTTCAGCATGGATAATAAAATAAATGTTATTTTACAATCCATGGTTTCAGAATGACCACCACAAAATTAGTTCTACAAATTTTTACACAGCTTAATAAATACGGATGAAAAGTGAGCTTAATACTATTTTATGTTTTGGTGGATACGCGTTCCGAAAAACGCACTATTTGTTAATAACATTTCATGTTAAATTTTGCACTTTTGCAAAGCTAACCCTATCTTCTAGAAAGATGAATTAAAATTAACATAACTTTACTCGAGGCAAATAGCACTTGTCGAAGCCACTGATGATCAGTGGTCGAAGCCTATAGCCCGTGATTAGGAGCGAAAACTAGTTATTGGTTCCTTTCTGGGGTCTATGAGGTATATGGTGATCAGTTGTATTATAACATAATAATAACATATAAAACAAGGTGTGTAGGTTATGGAAATAGAAATACATTTTGCAATTTGTACTTTGTTTTGACTAGGTCCATCTGATTGTTTTATTTTATCACGTGATCGCTTGCAGTACAAAAGTACAATCGTGTGTTTTTCCCTACCCACGCTACTAACCTCCAGATGAATGGTCTTCGTTCGAAACGTCCAAGTTTGCTCTTATTTTTAGGTAGCTGCATCATACACAGACGACAGCAGATCATACTTTTCGCAACACCCACACCCCAAAGTGATTGTATATTACAAAGATACTGGAGTTTCTGGAATGCGAAAATTTGTAAGCTAAATGTTCTAGTTGCTGATACCAAATGTTATTCATTGCAAGTGTTTTCATCGTTTTTCTTGTTGCCTACAGCCTTGTTCCCAGGGCTTCACGGCTGCCTTATTATCCCATATACGTGCTTTAATTCTGCTAGCTGGCAACACGCACTGAGTGATGAGCTCTTGTAATCAGCTGCGTGGCCTAAGGAATTACCGTGAACCTACTGGTAACCTCCACCGGCCTACAGTATTGTAATTTAATGTGCAAGAACTTTTCTTCACGTTAGAATGAGCTTCGTTTGCATGTTCACCTTGCAACTAAACTCTACATTTAGCGCGCTCTCGCTCAGCTGTGCAATACGCACCAATCCAGATGCCAATGCGTGTAATATTTTGTTTTCATCAATTATTCAGTTTTACTAGTTGTTACTAGTGCATGCTTGAAACGTCTCATGCAGTAGATGCCTTTTATCAAGAACAACAAAAACGAATTAAATGGATATTAGAAAGACTCCTCAATCATTCCTTATTGCAGGTAAAACACAAGGAATGCGGGAGATTTCATCAAATTGTCTTCAATGAAGAGGGAGATGGTAGCTCCTCAAATGCGGGAGACTTGGTTGGTCTGGATGTCATCATGAAAGGGGTTTGTAGCAGTGTCTGAACCACTGGTCTGGAACCATGGGTCTAAACTCTCTTATGACGACTGGTTTTTTTTGTTTGTTTAATGGAACACGAATGCTCGCCTGTATGTACATGCAGTCTATATTTATATTATAACCAACGCGATTGAATTATGTAAAAAATAGGTACGCTGAGCGTACATGCGCCCGCTGTGACTACTGTCAGTCATTGCCAGCTAGCTCTTGATAACTAACACAATCTCTTATTTCTGTGATTTATACATATCATCATAAGAAGGAAATTTCTGCCGTCCTGAAGGGGAGGGGGAAATTGTTTTCGATAGGGGGTTAACTTCCAATTTCCACGGAGGAAATTGGAAGTTAACCCCACTATCCGAAAGGGGATAGGAAGGTTAATTTCCAATTTCCTCTGTGGGGGAAGTACGGATGTTTTCTGGAATGACCCAATGAGCAACAGCGTAACGGCGAAAAATTCTTGATTTTTCAATCAAGTTGCTAATCAATCACGTACAGAAAATTTAATGTAGTATAATTTTATTTACACTTTATTTAATTTATTCAGCCTCCTTGTTATACAGGGTGCCTCAAAAAAACGCCATGGAAATTCAACAGGCTGTTGTGCATCACAAACTTAACTAAAAAATTCAATTTTTACATAGGACGAAAGAGCTGTTATTTAGTTTTCTATGATATATTTCCTGAACCGTAAAGATGAGAAATGGCCATATACTCGTCAAATAAAATTTTCGGTCGAAATCACATTCTTCCACCGTTGGGAATTGAAAAACATTAATTATGCAAAGTTAATCATAAATCCAAAAGCACCGCGAGTCTGCTGCAAGGGACTTGTTTCGTAAAACGTTTTAAATTTGATTAGGAATGTTCTCTGTTCAGGGGTTAATTGAACCAAGTTTAATGCAATAATGGACGTTCTTGTGATCTCACTAAGACGAAGATTGACGAGTTGAGCTTATTTTAGATAATTTAACATTCAATTTTAATTCCCTCTTGGACTTGGGAATTGTTTATGTTTCGTTTTCCATGCAATTCCCAACGGTGGAAGAATGTGATTTCGACCGGCAATTTTTATTTGATGAGTATGTGGCCATTTCTCGTCGTTACGATTTAAAAAGAGTATCATTCAAAAGCTAAATAACTGTTCTTTCGTCCTATGTAAAAATTGAATTGTTTAGCCACGTTTATGATGCACGACAGCCTGTTGAATTTCCATAGCGTTTTTTTTTAGACACCCTGTACAACGACCAATTTATTAAATCATTATGTTTTGGTCTCTGTTAATATGATTGTTGTTTGAATTGTTTGTGTGATTGTTTTATTGTAGCGGTCAAGAATGTGTAGTAGCGAAGTTGTTGTTGTTCGTTACTGTAACGAATTTCAATTTTTCAAGCAGCAAGAGTTTTTGACTACTTTTTTAAAACAGTAGTTGTAGCTTTAACTAGTACCTTTTTATACAATATCTCGTTGCGATAAGGTAGCCAGCGATTAGCTAGCTGAGTTCTCTGATAGCTTGCCTGAGGTTCGGTATTCATGCATACACAATGACAGACCAATAGAGATTATAAAATAATAAAGTGGGCAAACGAAAGGGACACATTGAAGCTTGCATGCTAATGGAGCAAATTTAATTACACAAGAGAAATTTCCGTTTTATATCGTAGAAAATGATAAACATTTGGACGTGCCGAAGTCACGAAGAAAAATCGGTCTTCAGCCTTCACCTTCGAAAAAAGGCAAAATATTTCTGCCGTTGCAAAACTTATTTTGTATAAACTGATCCAGGTATTCGTGGTGATCTCGAGTCTTATAGGCTTTGTCCTTGCTTGAACTATACTAAAACTGAAAAAAGTCGACGTTTTCAAAGTTGTATTATTTTCGTAATTTCCCGCTCCTCCTAAACATTGCAGCTTTGCATCCGATTCAGAACGAGTCGTTTAGCTCTCCAGTCGAAGCTATATGAGCTATCTTATTCGTTTTTAATCGGTAATGCACAAAACAGCAGGATAAAGCAAAGTCGTGGTTTTAATTAAAAGTTAGAAAAATTTGCTCCGTAAACATTACAGTATTTTTTCTTGTCCTGTAATTAAAAGTCATGGCATTACACCGTACTTCGAACCTGCTTCTTCGAGTCCTTCGTAACTTCTCGTACACAAACGACTCCTTTGTTGACTAAGGCTTTAGCTTCTTTGAATGAAACAGGTCGACTATCCGCGAGATCGATTATTGGGCCTCCAATGTCATCATCATCGGCAATTGAAGGTGGTTTAATAGACAATGGCGGATACCTTTCTGCGGCCACTGGAAACATCGTGTCAGCTATCATAAGGTGCCTGTTTGCATCTTCTAATCCGTATTTCAATTTTTGAATACAGTGCACTTGGAGCAGTTCATTGGTACGTTGTTCAATAATACCTAAGAACGACATTACGTTGTCCTCTGTTAAGCCGGCAGTGTTGCCCAGAAGGTCAGTTACGGCAGAACGGTTGCATTTTACAGATTTAAAGAGGTGATCAATCTTTGGTTTCACTTGCTCCAGTATTTTCTTAGCCTGCTTGTATTGCTCTTGTATTTTCTGCCTTTTCGAGCACACTTCCGAAAATCTCACTTCGAGTTGACTCAGAATTTCTCTGCGTCGTTTGTCAATTTGGGTGCTTGTCTTTTCCATGTCCGCCATGTCAGCTTTTCTTTCTCTTGTCTCTTCCTGTAGAGCCTCGGTTTCCGTATTCACTTCGTTGACGTAGTTAAACTGAGCAAAATTTTCGTCTTCGATTTTGATGAATTGGGAAACCAATTGATCAATGTCATGTATACCAGTGACCTGCGAACATAAAACATAGGGCATGATACCGCTAATATTATTTAATGGGACAGTGAGTTGGCAGTTTTCCGGGAGAAGCTAGCTATTCCAGTTCTCTGTAATTTTCTAAATGTCTGCATGATTGAATACTTAAATTCTTCTTTACGAGGTTTTTCTTTATTGCGATATATGTTGAAAGTAAGGTTGCTATACAGAATTAGGTTCTACTTCGTATATCTGAAACCATGTCACATCTTGTGTAACATCATACGACACGCGTCAAATGATTGGGCGACAAGCCGCAAAGCGTAACATTATACGTACAGCGTGACAAGTTACCGCCTGAGGCATGACGGAATTAAATGCAATGCCATTGGTTTCAATAGCTTTCAGTTTTTCCAAGTTCCATCAAAATTTAAAAATTATAGACTATCCCTTTACATATTATACCCTCTACACTTGCTCGTCGAGAAATCAGATCTTAAGTTTAAAGCAATTGCTGTTGGAAAACGTTAAAATCTGGTAGCTTTTGGATCGGACAATATTCGCTATTCTGCAGTAAAAACAGTGAGAATGAAAATGAGAAAAGCCGAGAGTAGCGGCTGTACACAGGCTACTAATTGTCCAATACAGAAAGGTTGCCTAAGTAATCGTTAAGTGTATACTACATTATTCTACACTAACCTCTCTGATTTTGCTGAAAATCTCTTCGTACTTGCTGGCTTCTACTTTAAGATTTCCAAGTAAGTTTGTCATGCGTTTATTTTGCCTCTTAAAGATAGCCTGTTCCAGGATGCCTGAACGATCTTCAGTTTTCGTGCTCATGAAATTTCGGAGCTTCCGATCATGATCAATTATCCTCATAACATCCTGAAGAAAATAACGAGAACTTAATGTTGTTGAATTTCGATAACTAAATAACAGACAGACAGACAGACAGACAGACAGACAGACAGACAGACAGACAGACAGACAGACAGACAGACAGACAGACAGACAGACAGACAGACAGACAGACAGACAGACAGACAGACAGGACAGGACAGGACAGACAGACAGACAGACAGACAGACAGACAGACAGACAGACAGACAGACAGACAGACAGACAGACAGACAGACAGACAGACAGACAGACAGACAGACTATCAACTAACTCAATATTTACTTTTAATTCCATGTTGTAAAGAGTAAGGTCACGTTCTGCTTTCTCTCTTAAAAACGCCATACGATGTTGGGCCTCATCACGAGCGTGGAAATAACTGAGACTGGATTCAACCACATTGTCTATCTCTGTTTTCCCATTCTGGAACTCTCTGTTTAGTTTTCTGTATAATTCACGAAATCGCATCTTTTGAACAGAGATGTAATCAATTGTCCCTTTTCGTTTTGCATTTTTTGTCAAAGTCTTGTTAAATCTGAGAGCAATGTATTAAAAAGAACGGATAAATAAGTTCTCCCACAAGTTATTGTACTTACAAAACAGAGGGTGACTAAAATGATATATTGCGTTTCCCCGTCCGCTAAACATTCAGGAATTCGCTCGCTACGTCTATTGCCCTCATAATAATATACATGAAAAAATTACTCAATTACTTAAGTGGAAATTTTATCGAAATACAGTGCCAAAAAAAGAAATACATGCATTTCTTTTTTATGTAAATTTTAACTGACAGACATATAAATTTGTATTAAATTGTTATGTCATTCATGAATTGAGTGCAGAGTAAATAATTTATTTCGCATGCGTTTCGTGCCTCAAAGTGCCACGAATTTGCTGCTGCATAAATTTTCATGTATGTTATTAATAAGTATAATTGTATGTTTTCTCGTCCAATTTGGAAAACAACCACTCGCAAGTTTCCAAATTGAACTTGTCCTTCGCATTACAAAGACTTTTGACCGTCTTTGAAAAAATTACTATTGCATGTTTTTTCCCCAAATTGCACCATTACGTACCTATATAGAAATAATTATGTGAAATTATTATTAGCTGTAGCAGCAAAACATTCCGAGAACCAATGAGATACTGTCATACGATTTCACGACGTTAGAAATGTAACCAATTCTTCATGATCAGGTAATAAAGGAAACCTCAGTTATGAAAATTCACATAAATCTGTGCATGTATACGCCCCATTATAAACGTTGTTCTTTTTCGCAGTTGTCTTTACCCCCTTTATACTATAATCTCCGAAATAATTACTCTCTCTTATCAGTTTCAACGTTGTCAAAACCATTTCTTTCGTCCCTTGGGTTTTCTCAACTATACTTTTTAAACTTGCTTAACTTGCTCTGTTCGATCACTCAGTCTTTGTATAGATTACTTAAACAAGTAATTTAATCGACTGACCTCATATTGGAGTTATAAACCCGATTCTCCATGATACGAATGTGTCTTTGGATAGCAAATTGATCCAAAGGTTGTCCACAAGATATCTGCTTCTTCAAAACTTCCTCTTTTGTAGCGGTGATGCGCCTATCAAGCATAGTTAAAGCATGATTACCTTCCCAGGACGCCTCTTGTATAACGAAATCCTTTTCTAACAAATTGTTCAATTTCTTTACGTTTCCTTTGTCGAAATCCTTGTTGTACCGACTGACCGAAACATTTAACAGTGCTTCAACGTCTTGGTGTTCTTTTGCAAGTTTCTCAATCTCGAATTCTTGACGCCGAAGAATATTATCAGTCTCGACTTTGTAGCTCTTTTTCTCGTTTTTCATTTTTCGATATTGACGTTCCAGTGCTTCCAGCTCTTGTTGATATTCTAACTGAACGTCAGCCACGTCGTTTCTGCTTTCTGATCTGGATACCGGCATGACTTATAGTTAAGGAATTTATTAACACGCTGGAGAAATTCGTGAAAATGCGCTGGTTGCCAAGTGATCGACAACTCGCATACGATCGCTGTTTCGTTTAATGACGCAATTTAATTAAAGGCGCGCGTGCGACAAAACCATGTTCACCCAAGGCAGCATAACAGCACGTTTCGTGATCATTTGTTGGAGCAAATTTTAAATAGTTTTCAGTTCGTACCTGTAAAAGATATGACTAGTTCATCTTCGTCTTCTTTATAGTTCTTCTTTATATTCTTTTACAAATCAAAATATAATTTGTAACGTTGTTTATTGATCGAGGGCCCTGTACCGGGTACCGAAATGCCGCCATCGCGACCAATTTATGCAGAGTACAGTTGTTAATAATAATGTTTTATTGACAACTAATTTTGCAGTTAAAACTGAATTACACTGAAAGATACTATAATTAAGAATATGTAGTAACATATGATTTAAGAATATTAAAAGTAGAAGTTACAATAGTTTTACAACTATGAAATACTGTATAACTAGAGTGATGTAATAACATAGGCTAGGATTTAAGAATGTTAGGGAGGTTGTTGTGCCACGCTTCGCATGCATACTCAAGGATAGGTCTAACACATGCGCAATAGACCTTGACTACGACGGAGTCCGAAAGGGCGTTTCTTTTCAACAGCGGTAGGGCGTATAAACGCTTGGAAGCCTCCATTTCAAGTCATTCGAGATGGTAACGCCTAGGAGCTTGGCATGCGTAACGATGTTGACTGTTTGATTATTGATCACAATTGGTTTATAAGAGGGAGAACTGGACGAGAAGTTCATGCGCATCTCTTTCGTCTTCGAAGCGTTTAACTTCATGTTATTATCACATGTCCATTCTTCGCACACTTTCACGGCTGAGGAGAGATTGGATTGGGAGTCTCTGTGCAGAACATCCCACGTTGTGAAATCTGTGACGAATTTGAAAAGGTCTGTAACTGGTTTGAGATAATTTACCATGATTAAAAAAGTAAGAGACCTAGTTTTGTTCCCTGTGGAACGTCAGCTTGAATATACTTCCAAGCAGAGTAGTCCTGACCAATCTTTGTCCTCTGTAATCTGTTAGACAAGAAGTCGGCAATTCAATTAATGAGAACTGGGTTGTACGGCCATTTGTTGAAGCTTTCTCAGTAAGACGTTATGATCGATCCGATCAAAGGCTTTCGAAAAGTCTAACAGGCAGATCCGTAATGATGAACCAAGGTCATCGCACGCTTCGTACCACTTATGGAGGAGGTGGACGAGAGCCATGCTTGCGCTTGAACCTCGTAGAGCGCCAAACTGAAGAGGGTCGATCTTTCCTACGATTGATTGGAAAAGCCAGCGGTAAGGAAACGACTCCAGAATTTTGCTAACAATGGCTGTGAGGGAGATGGGACGAAAGTCTGAGTCGATGTCTTGAGCGGGGGAAGACTTGGGTACTGGTGAAACGTTAGCTGATTTGGATAAATTAACGTCAACGGGAAGCGGAGTCCAATCAAGTGGTGGAAGGGTCGACCCAACAGCAACAAATTTGTCGTTGAACAGGTCGGCTAATTCTTCACCTTGGTAGAGACGATTATTATACATCAACGTTTTAGTACTTATACACGAAGAAAGACCTGCGATCTTTTTTTCCCTCTGACCATCACTTTTTCGGGCTGGATTGTTGGACTCAGCAATGTTCCTTTTGTAGTAGGAGTTACGAGCTGGTTTACATTTAACATTCACCATGTTCCTATAGCGTTTAAAGGTGATATTGTTTCCTCTGGACCAAGCACGTTGTCGCTTTATAATCAAAGATTTAATTTCTGACGCAATCCACGGCTTGTCACTAGAGTCGGCCTTCACTCGGTTGAAGGGGAGGTACTTCTCAATGATCTCGTTGACGGTGTCAGTGAAGAACTTCTCGTCGCAGGATTGCATGTGGTACAATGGAGACCAGTAAGACACTGTAAGATCGGTCCGGCAATATGCAGAGTACAGTTGTCAACAATTACTTCGTCTTGAAACTAGTCCCAACTAGCGATGTTCAAATTGATCGCAATGAAGCTCTAAGTTGTTTGAAGGATTGTTCAAAAATCTATATACATATAACTAAAAATACCATGCCGTCGAACCATAGTCTTTCAAAACATGGTTCGGGAAACTCAGGTAAAATCTTTGTTCTACCTTTTTGTTCGCGTTTATGCAGTTTTGTGCACGGTGCACGGTCAATGAACACATTGTATTTCAGTATAATGAACGAATCATCCAATAGCAACGTTTCAGTTCAGTCATTCAACCATGCTAGTTTTAAATAAATTAAAAATAATAATAAACCTAAAACAAAGGATGTGCACGGTGTAAGGTACCGGCTCAACACAAACACACAACTCATTATAACCCCTTTGAAGTTTACCGAGTTTCTAGACCATGTCTCGAAAGACTATGGTCGAACTCAAGCGCGACTGCTTGTCATCCGTCCTGATATATGAGCAAATTTATAGCCTATATAAATTTAAGTTAACGAGACAAGGCGTGATGGTAAGATGAGCAGGAAGATATGGTTTATATCAACCTCATCTCTGACAGTTAGGTCAAAGATCTTGACAGATAGGTCAAAGATCATCTTCTGCCAGCTAGCACACAAACTTACTGTGAACCAATTGAAAACCTCGTACGACTCTGTTCTGTGCTTTGACCAATCATAGGGCATAACACACTCCATCCCAATTGGCACATAGCATGCACGAGTTGATGCAAAAGAACGTAATAGAAGTTCAAACGTTCAGATATACATGTAAATACAGGAGGATGTATTCTGTCTTTAATACCGTTCTTCTTACAGCTTCTTTCAGTTCGACATGTAAATGCCAGTACACCTAGAAGTTACCACTTACCAGTACTTAAACCCTCCTCCATCTCCGGCGTCCTTTCGGTTATCCTGGTTATTTTCGATTGCTCCGCAAAATCACTGCAGAATGTGCGGAATTTCGCTACAGATACTGCACGATGCTTGTGATATGTACATATAGTACACGAGACTGCATGGTTAATATGTACATAGCGTATAAGTTTTTATCTTAAGATCCGTTGCTAATCAAGTGCATCATGATTCACGAGCATTGTGGCTCGGAGCACTACAGTAACTCCACAAAAGTTTGGATATTATCGAGAGAATACCCTATTATAGTAGCTACTAACTTATATAAATGCATAAAATAATATCTATAAGATATTGAAACAAAGTCGCATATTTCCATGGCGTTGTAATGCATGAACCAATATATTACATGCAGCCAGCAGAGAAGTATGCAAAGCAGAGGCAAGTTAGAAACCTGCAACACAGGGCGTTGTTTTCTTACAGTGCATGCAGCTTGTATTAGCCGATCAACTGCGCGCATTGTAATACTCCAAACTTAAGTCACTATTGAAACTACCAATACAAAAGAAAAACATTCTTTTTATTTCAGGTTTTTTATACATATTTAAAGCACACACATTTTACTAACCGTACATGTCTAATACATAACCTTACATGTCACACATAACCTTAACATATGTGTCTTACATAACCAACTTTTAATTTACGGACTTCACATGTACACACAGTATTTCGACAGACCAGACCATCTGTCCTAGAAAACTACTTGCTGTTGGCAAAATAATAAACTTCAACATCACTAGGAGTGAAGTTGTAGGATCCTGCCAACAACCGTTTGGCTGCATTTGTGGTGTACTTATAATCGGAGGGTGGTTTGTAGGTGTGACCGAAGTTGGTGTAGGACGATGTTCCACCATTAGCGTTGTTAGCAATGTGAATATCATGACCACCTCCGAATGTAGGGCCATAACCGTTATTGGTATACATTGCATTCGCGTTGTTTTGGTACACAGGAGATTTGAAAGGTGCAAGATCGTCTCTATTGGAGAAGGAGAAAATGAAGGATGTATCGGCTTTTATGTAACGAGCTGAACCTAAAAGAAATAGCGGGATAAAAATTGATCAATCAACTATTGTCTCAGCTACAGTCAAGAGATACGGTACAGCAACAAGCAATAGTCAAGTATAAGTATAAGTATAAGTATAAGTATAAGTATAAGTATAAGTATAAGTATAAGTATAAGTATAAGTATAAGTATAAGTATAAGTATAAGTATAAGTAGATATATATATATATATATATAGAGAGAGATAGATATCTATCTCTATCTCTATCTATATCTATATCTATATATCTCTCTATATCTATATCTATCTATCTCTCTATATCTATATCTATATCTATCTCTCTATATCTATATCTATCTCTCTATATCTATATCTATATCTATATCTCTATCTCTATCTTTCTATCTATCTATATATCTATCTATATATCTATCTATATATCTATCTATATATCTATATATCTATATATATCTATATCTATATATATTATATACCAAATGGGATGGGTAGATAAAAACTTTATTTGTACACGCTGACCCAGTCAACCGAAGCGGATTTCCACAATGGGCGTGCGCAAAAATAGAAAAAAATTCCATAAAGAATGATATTAAGAGTTATTTAAAAAAATTAAGGCAAATACGAATTATTTAAATATACGATTATAATTAGAATATTTACAGGCACATAATTAATATTTACTTATTACTCTACTGTATGTCAATGATGTGAGCAGAGATTTTATTTCAAAAGCTTAGGAAGAAAGAGTTTTGCTTTCCCTAATTTCCTTTGTAATAGAATTCCAAAGGCATGCTCCGTCATATACATCAAACTATTTTTCATATTGTTATAGTGCGTGGTTTGGTAAACTAAAATCAATTGAAATTTCCCGAAGGTTGTAATTTGTTTTCTCGCTTTTGTATGAAAAAATATTAGTAAGTAATTTGGGACCCATTTTATTTAACACTTTGCCTTAGCTTTCTTCCTTTCTGTTTTGAGTGGTTCCCATACTAATAGTCCATATAGGGTATACTTATCAATATTACATATTCCAAACCCACAAAACATTTTATTAATTATGAGCTTTGCATTTAATGAAATTTGAAAGATTAATCACAGACGTCACATAAACAGCCTTGCAAGCCCCATACAAATGAATAATGGAAGTGCATGCTATTAGTCAGTTATATAACAACTCTAATACAACCACGAGTGCTTTTGAAAGGCTTACTTGTACCACCTGCCCCACTGTGGATAATTAAGTAGATCAATATCAACAATTAAAACCAGGGTATAAAAAGAAGGTTGTTAAAGAAACGTTTTCCGCTGCTAAACAAATTTCAACGTTAATTTAAATAGGTATTCGTCAATAACTTGTTGTAGGAAACTTCCAAATACACAAACACATAATTTAGAAACTAGTGAAGGGTCGTAAATTAAGATATCAATGTTTCGGATGATTAGGACTTACCTCCCCATGCTGCAGCAGCATATCCACCGAAAACATACTTTCCAACTTTCACCAAAACAACGGTGGGTCCTTTGTTATCGCAGAACTGGTGGAAAGTGCTGGATGCCCAACCATTATCTGAAGCTCTGTAGCAAAGTTTCATTTTCGTCTCCTGTAGCTGTGACGGCAGCCATTGCTGAAGTTGATCAGTCCACTCGCTGTTACCTTCCAGTACAGTAGAAGCGAATAGAGTCTCTATATATGTGAAATGAAATTTAACATGTTAGATAACTAGATATAGTTACAGTATAATAACTAGATAGTTGTGAACTACACGTGATTTGCTTTAATTAAAAAGGACAAAGCTGTCTATGACAGACAGGCGCAGACTGGCTCGTGATGATCTCTGCGGATTGATGAGGAATTTAAGTGTAATAATGAGTGTAACTATAAACACTACTATGTGGCAGAGCCTTCTCAGTTTTATTAGTTCAATCTTCTCATCACACCGCGCGCGCTCACTTTTATTCAGGAAACTTCATGCAAGTTATTTTTAAATACTTAAGGAGGGTCTGCGGAGGAGAGAGCTAAATCGGTGTTCACACAAATAATTGTCATTTGTAAATTTAACATAGTCGACAATTACCTTTCCTAGTACACACCAAACCTGTATAACCAGTTGTACAGGTACATTTGAAACTTCCATCTTCTTCATTCGAACAAACACCTCCATTCTGGCAGGGGGATACTTCACATGGTAGAACTATATTAAATATTAATTTGATTAATTTATTTATTGCTTCATAAAAACTACGACAAAAACATGAGGATCGATTCTTATAGGCCAGTATTAATTTCCGAATAGTCTTTTCATAGTCATATACTTCGAAACGTACAGTTATACGGACTCACTAGGTATGCACCGACGAGTGGTAGAATCATTACTAAATTGGTTTAAGCTGATTTTGAATTACTCTATTTGGAGTTTTATTGTGGAATGTTGATATTTGTTATTATTTTTTATTCACATACATATATATACAGCTATTTCAATTAAGGTTGTCACCCAAGCAAAGCGGAAAAGTAAAATACGAGCGCGAAAGGCTGCTGGGAAACGCTAATAAATGAATGAATTTATTAGCGATTCCTAGCAGCCTTTCGCGCTCGTATTCGGGACAACCTTAATTGAAATAGCTGTATACACGCACAAGATTGATTGTAAAATCAGCTTTTAAGTGCAAATACTGATATACATTGCGAAGTTCACTGGTCACTATATATTCTTTTAATTTTGTCTGCATGACACCATTACTCTATTGCTAGAAGTTACTATCGCAAGGAAAGTGCTGCCTCACCCCCAAGAGATGGCACCATGCGCAATTTGCTGAATAATGGGCTGTTAATACGATCCCGCTTTGCCAGGATAAGTCCGACGAGATACGAGGCAGGATGATTTCGATGTATTGAAATGAGTCACAGTGCACAATTCGGCAAAAAACATTATTTTCTAGAGATGATACATATAGATTATGGCATGAACTGTAAACAAAAGGTTGTTCAAGCAGCAATAATAATCTTCTTGACCTACAAGATCTTCTCTACAATATTTGAGTTCTGTTAACCAGCATTTAAGCTTTTGATTATAGCCTAGTGACTTATTCCAATAGATCAAAAATTATCCCACCTTCCATCATGTAAACAGCCCTAAGACGCCTGTTCTGCAGGAGGTAGGAAAAGTGCAATTTGAATATAAAACACTTTGCACAAGGTTGCAGTTTTATATGAATGCCTTCTCAATGCTTAATATAACTTCTTGCTTTTGCATATATAATAATTTAATATAACACTGTCAGTGCAACAGGTCATGCTATGCAAGTTTTTAATGATTGCATTATTCAAATAGATGCAGATTTATTGGCGTGTTATTAAGTTGATTGTATTTTTGCATGCATGGCGAATAATAAAATTAAGTTTTGGTTTGTGGATACACAAGTATACCATAAATATACCATAAAAGAATAATATATTTCATTATTATCATTATATAATATTCATATTAAAAAATGGCACTACTAATTACCTTTCTTAGAACAATCAAATCCTTTAAATCCATCAGGACATTCACATTTGAAACATTTTACACCATCATCGGAACAATTGCCTTTATTTTTACATGGCTGCAAGTTACATGGACGAACTGAAAAACACAACGCGGTTATCAGAAAATATTTAAGCAGCAAATACTAAAAACTGTTCACTGAATATGGATTATGAGGCGGGATTTTCAGCAAAAGGTGTCCCGGTATATCAATACAAACGAAATCCTTATGCAAAAATGGCTAAAACAAAACGTTATACGCTTTATGTGAATAAACCCGCGTAATCATTCGTGTGCACGGGAATATATTAACGAAAGGACCTATACATATACGACCGTTGCTCACGCCATTTTACGTGTTTTATAACGCGTTGCATATCAATTGGCGAAGTCATTGAAATGTTTAATAGACAATGCCCTATATATCATTTTGTCCGCTGACCTATTTGAAATTTTGTACATTGTTGCTATTGCAAAAGGATTTCAATATACCAAAATTGAAAAAACTATGTAAAGCCAAATAAATTTTATCGACGAAAACAAACTTACATTGTTGCGTTTTGTAATATCTTAGTGTATGTTCTAAGTCAAATAATGCAGGGCAAAAATGGGGGTCACTGTGCTTCTTTTCCCACCACATCGAAAGCAATAGTGATTTTCGTACGTGTGTGTTGCCATAATATAGCAACGAACTATGACGTGTTACCAAAACTAATAGGCGCGAACACCTGATATGTGCTGGTTCTGGAAACTAAAAATATGACGTTTCAAACTACCAAACTGTTTACAACTTAGAGTTTTTAAATACTGTATCGAGCCACCTTAAAAGTCCAAAATCCAATGGATGATTTGGCAAAATACTTGGCATTTGTTACATTAATTGTTTAAGACTTTATATTAATGCTGGAATTTGGAATTATATTAATATTAATCTTATTAATAATATTGGAATTTGGAAATATATTAATCTTTATCAGTGCTGAAATTCCAGTACATGCAACTAAGTATCGGAGTACAAATCATGCGGTCTAAACGATAATAAATTAAAAATACAAATTTATTTACTAATTTCCATATAGCAGGTCGAAGCGGACTCACATTCCTGGGGATAATCTCGCCAGCAATGCCAATGGTATATAGGCTGTAGCAGCATTTTGCGGATTAATATATTATAGAACTAGAATTATAGATAAGTCAGCCTAGTCCCAGTCGTTCTGAAGCAAGCGCGAGAAAAAACGTGGATGTAGTACGAGACTGGGTTTCAAAGAAGCAAATAGAGAGAGCCTGGGGCTAGGCTGTAGATAAGTCATTTTTAACTTTACCCTTCTTCTCGCACAGAATTCCTTCGTAGTTGGGTTGACATTTGCACGTGAATGTACCATCATCCTTGTCCACACACACTGCAGAGTTTCTGCAAGGATTTCCTTCACACACAGTAACTGGATGTATTGATAAAATAACAATTATTAATATTGTATGTGGTCTTTGCATGGTGGTATTAGATTCTTAGTGCAACTTGCGAGTGCATATAAGGGACCGGTCACAAAGTATTTACTAGGGAGTGTGGAGGATATTTTTGGGGGGTACGAAAAAAAGATAACCTCTGAGGGGTGTACGAAAAAAACAACAGAACCTCTAGGAGGGGGGGGGGTACAAAATCCTAGTACTATATAGCTACGGGAAAAAATTACATTTTATAACTATTGTTGAATATTAAATGTATTTGTGCCCAGATTTAAGTTTGGAAAGAATTGCTTTACTATAATTATTAAATCAACACAAGGCATATGTTTTAGACCGACTCAATGTCAGATGATAAGTAGGATTCAGTATCCGTTGAACTTTTAGAGTACAAATCCGATACATGCACCTGAATTGTCAATGCTAGCAAGCTCACACCAGCATTAGAACTTGATGAACCGGATGAGAAAGTGTCATACGAATGGAAGCAAATTTTTCTACTTGAAATAAACCAAAAACAAATTTTTCTGTTTGATCTTACTCTCAGCTCATCGCTAGTATGTCAGAATCAGAAAAGACTGGTGACGAATCAGAGACTGCGGAAAATGTTGAGGATACGGTTACCACTACGAGAAGTGGGAGAGTTATCACAAACTGGAGAGTTTCAAAATATAGATAAATGCAAGACAAATGTTCAAACAGAATTAATGATAGAAGGGGGGGGGGGAGTATAAAAATTTTCACTTACATTGAAGGGGGTTACGAAAAATTTTCCATAGGTTTTTTGGGAGGGTATGAAAATATGTACTTGAAATTTCATTTACCTCCACCCCCTCTAGGAATTACTTTATGACCGGTCCCTAATGGACTTAAAAAGTTCTCTATAAATTGATGTGATTCAAAGTCACCTTTTTCACTACAGTCAAATCCTTTAAATCCAGTTGGGCAATCACATTTCTGATGAGTTCCAGTTAATGGTGTGCCATTGTTTTCACAAACGTCCTCTGCTAGAATTTTAGCTAGAAAGTATACACAGTGCGATAATTGCTATTAAATATTTTGACATAATATACTACACAGATGGCGTCATAAATGCATTGATATTATAAAGATAAATGCACTATTCAGAATAGCATGCAAACTTTGAATACAAAAATACAAAAGAATATACTGTACTTAGGCCCTGGAATACAATTCTGGAATACAATAAAAACAATAGGCAATGAGGAATACAATAAAAATTTATTGGATTTCTAATTAAACTTTTAACGTTAATGTTTTGTGGGAAGATGCGCAACTTCTTTGCCTTTGGGAATTATATTCACTTGATTCGCATGAATGTACTAACATGCATGCATATACATACTATTTCTTATAGTAAACATGAACATTATGCTTTTCGCGCTTATACATGCAAAGGTCGAAGTTTTGAGGTTTTTAGAGGATAACCTCTGTTGAATTAGCTGTGTATAAAATCCAGCAACAGGATTATGGTGAAAGCTTATATAGTTAACCAGGGCGTTGGCAATTTCCAGTAAGGGCCTAATTTTGACATGTTGGCATGTATGACGGCAACGCATCGATATTAAAAGGCAAATGCTTAATAACCATATTTAACAAGTCTTAACTCAAATGTTTTCACGTATTCACCACGGAAAGAGTATAGGTAGTTTTCAACTACTCGATCCTTAACTTATAATTACGCATGGTTAAGAGTAATACAACTTCGTGTGTTAAATTGAAACCTCAATTGGTATAGGTAAAACGTAAATGCATGAAACTACATGTCTATTGCGTACCACCAATCCACCATAGTTTAAACTGTTCTCTTGAGAATGTATGCAGATAAACCATATTACACAATCCATCATGATACTTACCGATTACGAACAAAAGCGCGACAAAACTTGCTGGCAACCGGAGCATTCTTTAATCGCTTCGAAGTGGTTTTCCGTCGATTTCAAATTAACTTGGGCGTGTTCCGTTCCTACAAACAGAGTATTATGTTATAGTATATATGGGCTATATTAGATCAATATCAGCGTGTTATATTCGGCCGGGATTTCATATTTTTCATAACTATACCCATGTATACCCATGCATGTAAACGACCGTTCGAATAAGCTACGGAGGTCAGGCCAGGATGTGCTAAACAGAATATTTCATATGTGTACTGGATGACACTGAGACGGCAAAAATATATAGTTCTTGTTCAATTAAATTTCATAAGTTAAAAACTTAGACACTGCGGTTTGTGCAGTATATATAGGTTTGAAAACAAATATCAGATCATGCCGAATTATTTGTAGAGATACGCTGTTTAGCTCTACATTATATTATATAACAACGCCTTAATTGAACGCCCAGTCCGTTTCGGCATATATAAGGGATATCCTGTTGTGAAGCCCTGAATGTATGGTTTAGGCGTCGTATATACCTATATACCTATATACTGTACTATACGTCTGTACCTAGGCCTACATTTAAACTCGTGAAAATCTAAAATGGAACACGGCAAAAATAGCGCTTACTGAATTAATAGCATAGTTGCCCGGGTTTCTTTTGTTTCAACAGGGTCGATTACTAACTAATCGCCCGCTGTAGCGGGCGATTAGTTCTAATCGCCCGCTAGAGCGGGCGATTAGAACTAATCGCCCGTTACCAAGGGTCACACCTTTGTCTCCCTGACGACTACGCATTAGGCAAGTGCCTCACACACATAATCGTGCAAGGAACAGCAACAGTTAGCTCAGAGCCGTCAATAGTCTATCATCCGATCCCTGAGTTGCCGCATCATTTAAATTACGCACGTGCAGTCTCCAAATTTATACTAATATATTTAGCGTGTTTGTTGTGGTACGTTAAATGATAGATTGCGCATGCGTAACCGATTAAAGCGTAAAAAGTGCGCATGTGCAACAAGCTTTTACATCCCACAAGCAATGAAGCAAATGTTTTAGCTTAAATACGCTGATTCCAAGTAGGGCATGTTTGTCCATTTTTAAATGGGAGCGAAACTATGCTATTACAAACTAATGGCATGGCTTTTCGGGAGATTAGTGATTAAATGACCCCTTACCCTCGGCAGGTTTGCGGAATTCCCTCGGGCTTCGCCCTCGGGAATTCCGCAAACCTGCCTCGGGTTACGGGGCCATTTAATCACTAATCTCCCTCAAGCCATGCTATTACTTATAATAAACACTAGGCGAGTATCCCATCTAGGCGGGTCATATAAACAGGCCCTAAGGAATTGAAAGATTTTATAAGCCAGCAATGCTTAAAAGCAAGATATATAAACAATGAAAGAAATAACACTATAACAGAGCCACAACTTCTCCAGAAGTGTAAAATTCCATGATACTGAATCACAGTTTGCAAGTCAATCCTTCAAAATTTAGTTAAATGTTTCCAAAACTTCAGTCAATATAGTTTTGTAGTACACCTATCTTAAGCCCGCCGCACACGAGAGCTACTTGCTGAGCTAACCGCCTCGCGAGGCGGTTAGCTCAGCAAGTAGCTCTCGTGTGCGGATAGTTTTCGTGAGGATTTGACCTCTCGAGACCTTGAGGAAAATATCTATCGTGTTTGATATTTTTCGCCTCGCGAGGAAAAAATCTCAGCGTCTGCGGATGTTGTGAGCTAAGTGCTGAGCTGTTTGAATCAATTAGCCGATGACAAACCATGGTTTCTTCATGTGACTTGGAACAAAATGGAGGAAAATGCAAATGATTTTGTCAATTATGTTGTTGTTGAGTAGTTTTCCCAACGTGTGCGGTGAAAATACATAGCTGAGCTAGCTGCCTGGCGAGGCGGTTAGCTCAGCAAGTTGCTCTCGTCTGCGGCGGGCTTTAAGGGTTCCTTTCAGCTTTCACTAAATTATGGGTTGCCTGAATTACTGAATAGATATAATTCCTCAAATCATGATTTTTGAAGTTAATTTGATAGATATTTTTAATTGCATGGATTATTGGGTCATATTTTTCTGCTATTTAGCCTTAATATTGTCGACTTTTTTAGGAAAGGAAGTGCAAACAAGCGCATACAATAGCAATTCTTCTTCAACTAATGGGCAACAATTTCTAAATAGCAAGGAAGCTGAATGACTGTATGGGTATGGATAGCTCTTTCATGGGCTCTGCTCAGTTTGTATGTTGTAACTTATGTCGAGCCATTGCAAGTGAATTTAACAAAGCCAGCGAACAAAATTGACAAAAATATACACGATTTAATTGCACATTTCAGCTTGGAGTTTGGTACTATTTCAACTGTCAATTCGACCTCGAACTTTGAAAGGTTCAAAACCTATCTGTCTCATGTTTGCTCACTCTATAATTTTGTGTACGCAAAGGTTTTCATCATAACTTAATAACAAATTATAATTTAGGTTTTGGAAATCATTGTTTTTTTATCAGGAAGCAGTGCGCGCTAACACTCTCGGACAACATTTCGACGGCCATTTTTAACCACCAAATTAAACAGAGTATATAAATAAAATAACACTTGAAATAAAGTTTTTTGTTACTTAAATCTTATCTTTAAGTTTCTTATAATAGCTGAAAGTAATAAATACATATAAATTTTACACAAGTAATATTTTATAAAGCAATAGTTTCAGCATACCTTCTGATGGGTCATATACGCGTAGCCATATTTGTTTACAATTAGAACGTCTTACCCCTCCGCGAAGCCCGCATCACGGATGGGTCTGCTCGATGTATGGCCGTTTCTACGCCCTCTCTCCCTTCGCCCTGGTATTGTCATTTCACACAAATTCCTGTTTGCTCGAGATATTATAACCCGTGAATTCATTTTTGATTTTCGTTTGAACGGGATATGAACAAAAAAGAAATGTTTACACTTACCAGTAATTTAAGGATCGGCCTTGTAAGATCCTTAAACAACAATCTTATGTCTTGTCAAAGCGACAGCTTGGAAATAGGCAAGACAAGCGTATAGGGACAAAATGCGAGTCAATAAAGCCTTTGCATAATTTTTCACTTTATGATTTCAAAGCAGCACAAGAATGCATTATTTTGTATAACTCCTGCTGTTTTCTTTCTTACGTCCGTATTTTATAATTCAAAACAACCTTATCCCGGCGATTTTTACCTAATTTTACATCATGTGCAATTCGCAATGTTTCCATATATTGTTTGTTCTGTTTTCTTTTTAATTTTGCGTATATTTTTACAATATAGAATTAGTAAAGTAAAAGTAAAGTAAAATAATGTTTAGTAGCAAGAGTTTGCGTGGATAGCACGTCTCACTTAGCACCAGCATGTATCCTGCATTTGTTCATTTAATTTACTCGAGAATTTTCTTTTTGTCTTGAAATAATAAAAATAAGATATTAGAAGACAGACGGACATTATCAGCCTTCAATTACTAAATAATAAACACGCAAATGTATGGTGATGAACCAGGCGGGAATCGTAATCGTAGTATAAATATTAATGCTCAGCCGCATAACGTACGCAAAAGAGCCATATATATAGACAATAATATAGACATAAATATATACATAAAGTAATACTATATAGTAGATTATCATAAAGTAATCAGTACTACCAATTAATAATGCTTGTATCATACAATCGTATTTTATAAAGTATGATGACTATGAGAGTTTTCGTGTTCAGTATGGCTGAAACATTTATGAAAAGCTAAAACTGACACAGACAAAATACATTGTAAACACAGCCTATTTAGGCAGGCGCTAAACCGGTGTAAACTATTATGCAAAGATGAACAATACCGTCATTAATACTATTAGTATTTTTGCGCAAGTGAATAACATACCCTACAAGTTGTCAAGTTGATTGGTCAAATTTGACACAACTGGCGGCTGCGAGGGAGACTACAAATTCCCCGATAATCACGGCCTCGCCGCCTTGGCGAATAATTGTTCAAAGCCAAAGGCGCAATAATAATCGCGTGTAGTTTATACTTATACGTGCTAGTTTTTCAATATTTTGTATTTGCCCGCTACTTTTGTCACAATTGTTTCTATAAATCTATTATTATCTATACGATAAAGAAGAAGTTCTGCAGTATGAACTGTACTATACATACTATAAATACAAATATTATAATAAAATTTAAATATGTTGGACATTTACTGTTGACATTAATATTTTAGTTATATTTGCTCGGACAGGGAAAACTGGGAACGAACGAAAAGGGCGCGAAAATAGTTGTAGGACACGGGATTTTAGAGATAGAGTATATACATGTTAGGAGTTTATATTATGCGAATTATACTATAAGAAATAAAACTATCAAAAGTTAATGAAAGTGAGAAGCAAATAACATGGTGTCAGGAGTTTAAAAGAAGCCAGCTCACATTATTGAAAATGATAGAAGAAGCGAACGGTAGCGAAGCAGAAAACACGCCGAACACAGCCTCGGCATGTCAACCATTATTGCCAGCGGGCTTGGCCATGCCTAAGCCATTAAAAACTGAAGGAAACCTTGCCTCAAACTGGAAGAAATTCAAGCGATCTTGGGATAACTATGCTATAGTGGCAAGACTTAACCGATTTGAAGATGAATTCAAAACAGCAACGTTCCTTTCGTGCATCGGCGAGGACGCAATGGAAATTTTTGAGGGCGTAGATTTTGCCTCGGAAGAAGACCGCACGAAATTTGACATTGTTGTAACCAAATTTAAAGAGTTATGCTTAGGTGAAACAAACGAAACCTATGAGAGATTCGTTTTCAACAGCAGACAAAAGAATGAAAACGAAACAGTCGACCAATACGTAACAGCACTGCGAACATTGGCACAATCTTGTAATTTCTGTAATTGTTTACGAGATTCTTTGATACGCGATCGCCTGGTCATAGGAATCAACGATAATGCAACTCAAAAAAAGTTATTGCAAGATCGAAAACTCACCTTGACAAAAGCCATCGACATCTGTCGCAGTAGCGAGACCACGAAGAAACAAGTCAAGAAAATCCAGGCAAACAGCGAAGCAAATGAGG